AAAAAGGAATTAAAATGTAATGGAAGTTTTCTACACATTTCTGAAGCCCTTTACATTCAATTCATAACAGTGAGTTTCGAGGCTTCTTTGAAAGGACAGAGAATTTCTGAAGTAAAAACACGCAGGAAGACGATCTTCCTTCCATGTCTTGCCCGTTAAATCAAGAGACCAACTGTGGTTAATATTATATCGGGGCCCCCTGTAGAACATCCTAGACTACAATGAGCTCCTCACTCCCAGCTAAGTAGAGTCTAAAACTTTTTAGCACAACTGTGAAAGCTCAATACATGTCGTATAAATAGAGGAAAACTAATACAGCTATTTGGCATACAACTCATCGTTGGAGATATAACATTAAAGTTAGGTTTTTCTTTTTCTATTTCCCTAAGGATGGGAGGGAGAGTAAGACAGAACAGGAAATGAATTACCAATCCACAAATGTGGTCAAATTGTTGCTGACTTCTGAGCCTCTTCAGAGACACAGACGCTTAGGTGAATTAGACATTCTGAGGTGCCGGCGAAACGCCAGCATACAAAGGCAAATGAAGCCAAAGAAAAAGAGATGGTGGCAAAAGCTCGCAACTTGTAAGTAACACAAATGTCCCAAGAGCACGTTGCCCCTTGGGGTGGGGGTGGGGGAGCAGCCTGTTGTCGTCAAGCCCATTTTGACTCATGAAAGCCCCATGGGTTACACCAGTGCTCCTGTGCATCTACGGGAACGGAAACGGAATCAAGAACTTGTAGGGACACGAAAGGGGAGGTTGAGGAGAGGTGGAAAACTAACGACAAAAACTAGAAGACAAAAGTAAATGTTCTTAAAGTGATCATGAGAAAACAGGGGGATCATGGTAAGACCTGTACAGCTCTCCTTAATATGACTGAACTATTGAGTTCTATGGTAGGCGAATTATATGCCAATCACTTTCCAAATTTCTCCACAGAGTTTTTTTTAGCTGTAATCTTTGTGGATGCAGATTGCTAGGTCTTCCTTCTGCGTACCTCTGAGTGGGTTCAAACCTCTACCCTTCAGGTTAACAACCAAGTAGCATTAGACCCGAGTTCACTTAATAAACCCACTTCATTTGAATGTAGTTTGTTTTGGGGTTTCTGAGCTCAACCAACCAATTCGTAAGGAGGAAAACTCTCTACATAATTAATGGTAGTGATCCTTGCCACATACTGTAAAACTTTTGCTCTCAAGAGTTTTAGTAAACTCACGTCTTTCCTCCAATAATAATACAGAGATATCGAAATTATATAGTCTTCAGCTACATCCTGTTTTGAAGTTAAAGCAATGTTAGACTGAAGAGAAAAATGTGAAGCTTTCACAGAAAACCTGAATTATTTTTATGACAAATATACCAGTGTATCATGTTTCATGCAGGGCCATATGCTAGCCACCCACAAAGAGACATGTCTATGATATTATTTCAGCCTGTATTTTAAACGTCCTGGGTTTTGTGGGTTTTATGCTGTAACCCTGTTACATAAAGTTATTTCTTTATTTCTTTCCATTTCAATGTGCTATAAATCTACCTGTCTCTTCTTAGAGCTCCCTTAGCATTATTAAGTTTCACAGAAGGAAACAATACTCCAAGTTTGTTTCCATTGGCTCTGGCCTTCGCTTCCCACAGTGAGAATAAATGACTAGTTGTTCCAAAAAGAGCCATCAAGAGAGAATTTATCCCTCCCACAGCAATACAAAGATGCTATTTTCTTCATCCCGACCCCCAAGCTCACTGTATTCTTGCTGTCAGATGGCCTCCACTGAGTCAAACATTTAAGAAATGCACTACTGTTCCTCCAACCGCATCAGAATGTCATCACGTCTCTGAGTGTAGATCACGTCGGCCTCCTTCCAGGTGTCTACCATCTGGTGCTGATCCTGCGGTGACCACCGGCAGAACGCCGGAGGAGCCTTTGCCTGGCTTTCATCCCAAGCGTTCTCTAAAGAGCTGCGTGAAAGCTAGGGCGTGGAGCGTGCAAGACGGTCGCTTTGAGAGAGGGGGGTAAAGGCGCAGCGGTCTGAAGCACAGCAGTGAAAATCCCAGCTCAGAACGTCAAGCACTGTAACGCGGCTTCGTTCCCTTGGAATCACAGGAACGGCCATCAGTCTGACTCTCTTTCACGGAACACATGAACATTTTCGAGCAAAAACAACCCTTAGCATGTTAACATAAGCGAGACTTGAGTTTTTTGTTCTAAAGTTTGGGAAGAAAGAACACCTGTGCTTCGGTGCTCAGGTGCCACTGAGAGGGGCCCTGGAGTAGCCAGGACTTCCGACACAGGGGTCATTTCTGGCGGTATACAACAGAAAGGTGTCCCACAGGCCTCGTGACCACTCTGATACAGGGACGTATCATTTACGGCGAGTTCACACCTGCCATAAGTACTATAAACTCAGAGCTAGCCATAAAAATGAGGGCTACGCCCTTACAACTTATCGAGCACGAGAGGCATGCTATCAGTGCTATTGGTACTTTGCCCCATCCCTTTCCTTCTAGAGCAGCATGAGGTGGAGGAAAGAAATTAAAGCAAGGAAAACAATAAGTATAGAATCGTATTTGTATTTATCCAATAGCTTTCTCGAATTACCCTGCAAGAGATTTCTTCCATACCTTCCAAACAGGCACTGAGCTGACACCTGACCGTTTTAGGTAGGGTCCTGTCTAAAAATGTCCACCCAAAGCCTAAAATACTATCATTTTAATATAACAATAGATAAAAATTGTAATCACTTTCAATATATTTTTTCATATGACTTGCCAATTGGCTATATACTCTCTATTTAGATCACTACCAAATTTCTTTTCAGACCCAGCTTTTGAGGGGAGATACAATTGCCACCCAACAAAAGCCAACCGGCATTTCCAGAGCTTTCCAGCCTTTCAAACCGTTTAGGATCAACACCCATAAGTTCAATGCACCGGGCTGACCAGCCGGAACAACGGTCTATAGAGGGGAGGTGCTAAGGCCAGAGACCCCGTCAAAGAGGGGTGCGACTAATGGCATGCTGGTTGAATGGGTGGATGGAAAGCCATTTCAAACAGCTTGCCAAAGTTAAGTCTCATGTTTCCAGTTTCTTGTACAGAATCCCACGTCTGGCTCCTCGTTTCCTCAGTGATCTGATAATTACCAAATTCTAAATAAGGTGCCATCTTTCTTGCAGCAAATCAATGAACGGAAAGTTCCCATCAACAATGCAGATGTTTCCTAAAGCTCTCGTTGCTGACTTCCGGAATGTCTACGTCACAAGCCACACAGCGAGGACAAGAAGTGCTCGCTGCTCTGTAACAAACCCAGCTCCGACGTGGGCGTGGGCGTCTGTGCGCTTCAGAAAGAGGGCAGGGAAGTGGTAGGCAAGTGGCAATGCTAAGTCACCGCAATGCTCCCTTCATTACCTAGTTAAGATGGAAATGTAGTCTTGCCCAACATGGGGAAGAAGAAGTCTTCCTTGTTGTGTACAAAGAAGCTTCAAAACGTTTATGGAAAATGGCACTTCGGTGATAATGGTAATTTCCCATGAGTTTTCTAACGCCCCCTTGTGTTTGTCCCTACAGATGCAGGATAATTTTTTCATTCTTTATCCCAGAAGCATTTATACTAAATAGCCCTACCATATACACAATTATATTTATGGTACCCCTATAATAATATCTAAAAGCGATTTCACTTTTATTCCTCAACAATGTAATCACACCATAACCCTATCATCCGAAGATGAAGCTTACGAAACTTAAAATGTATGACTGAGTTAATCACTAAGCCTTGAAGTGTACAGTAAACCTAAAGTTGCCCACGGCCATCTAAGCTTACTTACTGATAAAGTAACATATTATGGAGCAGTATATTTTAGATACTCTTCCAGACTACCAAAATGTAACATATTCCCATTTTGCAAAAGTCCCTATCTTCTATATTCTATTTGTTCAATTATTCAGAGCAACCCAGGCTGCTAATTACACAGTCCCCAGTTGCTGAGTAGAAGTGATGCTTAATTAGCCAGCAGGAAAGATCGAGTAAGTTCCAGCAGGGCATCGTGTGAGGTTCTCTCATGTATTCCGGGAGGGATAAATTCTGGCTGTGCCCTTCCAAAGGATAAAATTCCAAGCTTCCAGGGAGCTCGATATATAAAGTGGATGCTCAGAAGAGTCAGCCAGGCACTTTGAATCCCAGGCCTCACCCTGTAAACATGCTGCCTTTGCCAAAAGCACCCAGTTCAAACATTCTGAATGACATTATTGCCAGATTAGAAAAGGCTAACGTAATGCTCATTTCTCCTTAAATCTCATCCAGCTACTATATTTCAAGAAGAGGGGTGGGGGAAATATATTGCAAAGAAAGGCCTGAATTCTCTCCTCTCCCAAGCAAGTGCATGCACCTATCGAATGCTCACCTTCTGGGACGTACAAATTAGCTGAGACTTACTAAAAAACAAAGGCAAAAGCTTATATTCGACCACATTCTGGGAATTAAACATTCCCATAGGTCAAAGAACCCACCGATGTGTTTGGTTTAAATTGTCTATTAGCAAAGGAGATGTGACCATAAAATCAGGACCAAACGCCTGACAAGATCTCTGGCTTCATCCGAGGAACACCATCTCGTTAGCAATTTGAGGAAACCGGAGTGACGAGCTGTCCCTGTCGCTTTAGTTCAATACAAAAGTATTCGGTAAATGTCAACCTAAAAAATCCAAAGCTTAACAAATACCTTAAGATACGTACCTCCCCAAATCGTTTTATTTTTATTTGCTATGATGCCTACTTCTCATTCCATAACTGGAAGCTTCTACCAAATTAAAAAAAAAAAAACGCGTTAAGGATGCGAGGTCTTCAGAAAGGGTGAGGAAAATGGGATCAAAAGAGAATGAGATTTTCCCACACTTTGTGAAGCCTCCTCTTCTGTTTACCCTGGTTAATCCATGCGCTAGGAAGGCAGACTTTACCGACTGGAAATGGTTCTGGAGCATACGAAGAATGAAACCAGTTCATACAAACCGAGCTTTGATTTGCTGAAAGCCCCGAAGAATGTGGTCTCTGTGGTCTCTCGCACCAGCACTGAGGTCCTCATTCCGCAGGCCTTCCGACAGGAACTCCTCACTATCTGCAGAAAAGGAAAACTGATCAGTATAGAAATGGCTAACGGAAAAAGAAAACGTTCCAGAGGATTAAAACAAATAGGGATGATCTTTATTATATCCGTCTTACACTTCCATACACTTACGAGTGGCACATTCTGATAATCCACGATCTTGCTATCAATGTAGAAAGCTAGGCTATATATGATCCACAAGAAATAACCACTTCCTAAGCCATTTTAAAGAAACATTTAAATATTAATTACCACTGATGGCAGAGGATGGACTATCAATGGCATAAACATATAAATATTACAAACCAGTTACAGAAGGTCACAGGCCAATAAAAGCTCAAAGGAAATACCGGTAGAGAGAGCTGAAATAAAAAACAGAGTTGAACTGCAGAATCAAGATCAAAAAGAGCAGGCATTCAAAGAGAAATTAATTAGCAGATACATCAGCGATGAAAATGGCAAAGCAACCAAAAAAAGGAGCCCACATGGAAAAGAACACTGGGTCCAAGAGAAAGAAACTGCAATTAATACACATATGCATTATAAAATAGGGGTAATACAGCAAAAATCTACATGAAACAACTCGTGATGTGGAGGAAATTGGGGGATGGTTCAAACTACCAATTTTCGACAACAAAATACACTGATAATTGTTAGACGTGTCAGAAATGTTAGCCATAGTAGCTATTCTACATAAAAGCATTATGTCTGACCCTATAAATAACCATTTATATTTTTACCACCAAAAAATTTTAACACCTGTAACATAGAACTGTATCATATATACTTTCAAGATAATGTTATAAATTTATACATTTGGGTTATATATAATGCTGGATTATTACACTAAATATTTTGTTTAATTTAACACCACCAAACAAAAATTCCTCAATGGGCATCACCAGGAATTTAAATGAGATGCAAAGTTCTTGGACCTGGAAATTTCACCTTTTGCTTCCAAGCTTTGGACCTTATCTATTCCAAACATCACTGAATAGGTTTCTCCAGAGTTCTCTGAGCACTAAGGAATGGGAAAGTGGGAGGGTGAATTAAGAAGTAAAGAAAATATGCCATAAAATAACTCTAACTCTAACTCTAACTCAACTCTATGAGTTGATTCCAACTAATAGAATAAAAAACAAAAATCATAGGATCATCTCAATAGGCACAGAAAAATCGTTTGACATAATTCAACACTGATTCATGATGAAAACCTTCCATAAACTGGGAATACATGCACAAGGGAACTTCCACAGCCTGATAAAAGACATCTACCAAAAAAAGAAAAGAAAAGAAAAAGCCAACATCACACTTTATGATGAAAACGAAGATCAGGAACAAGACAAAGATGTCTGTTCTTGCCATTTATATTCAACATTGTACTGGGAGTGTTAGCCAGAGACATTTGGTCAAAAAATGAAATAAAAGTCTCCTTTATCTTACAGATAGAAAATCCTAAAGAATCCACTCTCTGACACCCACAAAGACAACTATTGGAACTAATAAGCAAGTTCAGCAAGTTTGTAGGATCTAAGATCTACATTTGAAACAATTACATTGATATATAGTAGCAATAAACAAACCTAAAATGAAATTAAGAAAACAAGTTCATTTAAAATAGTATTAATATCAAATTCTTATGAATAAGAACATGTGTAAGGCATTTTCTAGAAACTATAGATTATTAAAAGAAATTAGAGATCTAAATAAATAGAAAGACATCCCATGTTCATGGTCCAAAAAATGTTGTTAAAATGGCAGTACTCAAATTGACCTACACATTAAGTCTAGCTCCTATAAAAATCCCAGGCAACAGTTTTTGAAGGAATTAACAAGTCTTTCCTAAAAATTATTTGGAAACTCAAGGGACCCAGAGTAGCCAAAACCATCAGGGGTGGGGGGAGGGCAAAGTTGGAAAACTTACCCCTTGCAGGTCCCAATTTCAAAACTTACGTAGTAAAATGATGCTGCGATATTGGCATAAGGATAGAGAGAGAGACCAAAGAAATAAAATCGAGAATCAAAAAATAAGTCTTCACATTTATGATCAGTTAGGGGTTTTTTTCCAAACCATTTTTATTGGGAGCTAATACAGATATATCATGCCACAGTGCAGTCACATCAAGCAGTATTGTACAATTGCTATCACAATCAATTTCGAAACATTTTATTTCTTCTTGCACTGTTGTTATCAGCTCCACTTTACAGCCCCCTCCACAATGCACCCCTAGGAACTCTAATTCTACTTGCGGTCTCAATAGGTTCATCAATCCTGGGTTTCGTATACCAAAAAAAACCAGAAAAACATGTAGCAAAAATCAAGAGGGCTACCCACAATGACAAAATACATCAGAGATAAACCCCAATATGAAAACCCCAGAAACTGTTGAAAACTAGACCAGGCCTAACGCGGATCAGAGGGGGGATCAGGTGACAAGGTTTCAGCCGTTCACGTCAGGTTTACCGTTTTGAGCTCCAGTAGTCATCTCTCCAATACTCTCTGGAAACCAGTTTATTCCCACCTCTCCATTATGGAGAACGGCTTATTTCCTGTGTAGATCCCAAACAGCTATACCAAGAGTGTTGAAATGTGGGTAGTCAGACAAACATCGACTTAGTACATCAGTGCCCTATTTGCTGTATGAAGATATGCATTATTCTAGCAAACCTGTGATTCATATTGTCAGTGGAGATTATTGTAAATTCCACCTGACAACCAACTCCCAATGTTTGTGTAAGTAGCGTCCTGCCATATAAGGATTTATTCTATACCAATGAATAATTCAGTATTGTGATATGAAGTTAGCCTACACTGATCCAATATCCTTCTCTCAAAGGTGTTTTAAAAATTAGTACCAGGGGCTAATTGATGACAATATTAACAGGAGATCCGTATGATCCACGGTTGTAGTCCGTTCATTTTTGACAAGGCTACCAGAGCGACTCAATGGGGAAAGAATAGATTCTTTTTTCAACGAATGGTGCTGAGACAGCGGGGTATCCACAATTTAAAAAACGGATTGGATCCTGACCTCATACAATATACAAGAATTAGTTCAAAATGGATGAAAGACCTAAGTTGAAGAGTTTAAACTAAAATTCTTAGAAAAACACATAGGCATAAGTACTCATTATCTTGAATTAGGTAATGGGTTCTTAGATATAACACCACAAAGCATAAGCAGCAAAAGAAAAATAAATAAGTTGGACCTCATCAATATTAAAACTCTTATGCCTCAAAGATATTAAAGCCCACAGAATGGGGGAAATTTTGCAGATCATTTAGTGATGAGAATTGCATATAGACTATTTGTAGAGAACTCTTGAACTCAGTAACAAAACGGACAAATAATCCAATTATCAAAATGGGCAAGGACTTGAATACAGGCCGTCCTTGGTTACAAACACTTATGGGTAACCCCTATTTGCCCTTTATGTCCATTTGCCCTCACTTTGAACAATTGCATCGACCCCTACCTGCCACTAACTCGTCATCACAATCACCTTCACTTGCTGCATGAGCAGCTGCCAAAAGCCAAACTCACGGCTATCTAGCCATTTCCAAACCCCTGATGGAGAGACAGGTAAGTATTGGACCGCTGACCACATGATCAGCTGTTCGAACTCACTAACCACCCTTAAGAAGAAAGTTGAGGCTTTCTGTTCCCATAAAGATTGATGGCCCCATAGGATTGCTCTGAACCCTGCACCCATGGAAGGCTAAATAAGAAGGGTATGTACCTCTTCCAACTCAACTGCAAATTGCACTTGAAGATTTAAGGACACAGGAGCAGATCTTGTTGCTAACCGGAGGACTAGCTGTAGACATTTCTCCAAAGATGGTAAGCAAATGGATAATAAGCACTAGATAAGATGCTCAACATCATCAGCCCTCAGGTAAATACAAATCAGAATCACGATGAGAGGGCACTTCCTACTGGAACAGCGATCATCAAGTAGACAGCAATAATGCCGAGGATGGGGACTATTGGGCACACTCGCATATTGCTGATGGAAATGGGAAATGGGGTAGCCACCTGGAAAACAGTCTGGTGCTCAAAAGGCTAAAGAGAAAGTGATAGTATGGCTCAGCATTTGCACTCCTAAATGTAGACCCAAGAGCAGTGAACAGGCACTCATGCAAACACTTGCACACGAATGCTCATTGCAGCTTGATTCCTAAGAGTGAAAATTTATTAACAACTCAAGTTAGGAATGGATAAATAAAACATGCTATACCCATACAATGGAACATTATTCAGAACTAAAGAGAAATTAAGCACATGCTACAACATAGATGAGCCCTCAAATCAATATGCTATCAGTGAAGCTGTTTAGGTTCAGACAGTTATATAGATAAAATCTTTCCAACTTTGAATAAATAATTCTCATTTTATATAAACTAATTAAGAGCCTAGAAAAAAGACGGGCTTTCCCAAATAATTTAGTAAAAGGTAGTAATATGAAATCCTTCACAACTTCAAACTTTTCTCCACGTATCATGATGCTACTTATTGGTCTAGTAGAGTTTTTTGTCTTTGTAAAAAAAATTAATGCATTGGCACATAATAGTTAATAGTTCAATAATATTAAGAAGAGTTGTATAAGCTAAAGTAATCTCAAAGAATAAAGTAGGAGCAATAACATTTCTTGGCTTCAAAACATACTATAAAGTATCAGTAATTAAAACAGTCTGGTACTGGTATTATAACATATGAAGGTGTACCCCCAAAGATCCACAATTAATCTTCTTTTCAAAGCTATGTATTTAAAAAAATTTAAATCATTTTATTGGGAGCTCTTAGAGATGTTATAACAATCCATCATTAGATCTAGCATAATTGTACAATTACTACCGCCATCATTTTCAAAACACTTTCTTTCTTCTTGAACTCTTTGATATCAGCTCCCCTTTATCCCCTCCCTCCCCCACCTGGCCCCCCGAACCCTTATTCTTATATTACAGTTTTGGGGGTGGTTCCCCATACCTTATACCATCCACCATATCCATTCTCCGACAACCCTATTATTCATTCCCCACGAGTGGGGTTATAGTCATCTTTGCTATCAATCCTCCCTGCCCCCCAGTAATTACAGTTTTTGTTTTCTTTATATTGAGGTGTAATCCATAGTGGAAGCTGTAGTCTTTGATCTTCATCAGTAAACGCTTCGAGTGCTCTTCTTCTTCAGCAAGCCAGGTTATTACGAGCCTGCCTCCAAGGCCGATGCCCTAGTCCAGCTTCGCAGCGGCTCGTGATCGATGCACAGGGTCCCCATGAGCACAATGAAGTGTTCTGGAATTCTCACGCTTTACAAGACTTTTCATGATTGGTTACGACCCACGTAGTTAAATGCCTTTGCATAGTCAATAGAACGCAAGTACGCATCTCAGTGGTATTCTCTGCTGTCACTCCAAGTTCATCTGATGCCCTTGGGTGTCCTCTTCGGAACCGGCCTGACTTTCTGGCATAACCTGCTGAAGCTCTGCGGCAGCCCTTTGTTTTGCTTTGTCTTCCTTTTCTCCAGCAAAAGTGTACGCATGTGTGATGAACCAACACCAAGCGAAGTGTCCTCCAGCTGATGCCACCGCACAGGGCCCCTACAGGGCTGGGTAGAGCTGCCTCTGTGAACGTTCAAGGCTAATTGTTTACATACGTGGAAGCCCTGGCTTTCTCCCCAGTGGCTGGAGGTCTCAAACTGCTGACCTTGCAGTGAGCAGTGCAACCAATAACATTCCACCACCAGGAATTCTAGATATTAATGATACTGTTTGGTAATTTTACCTTCTTTTTTAAAAAAATCACTTTATTGGGGGCTTGTACAACTCTTATCACAATTCATACATACATCGTGTCAAGCACTTTTGTACATTTATTGCCATCCTCATTCTCAAAACATTTTCTTTCTACTTGAGCCCTTGGTATCGGCTCATTTTCCCCGCCCTCCCCCACCCTCCCTCACAAACCGTTGATAATTTATAAATTATTATTTTTTCATGTCTTACAATGTCCGATGCCTCCCTTCACCCACTTTTCTGTTGTCTGTCCCCCAGGGAAGGTTATATATAGATCCTTATGATCGGTTCCCCCTTTCTCCCCCACCTTCCCCTTCCCCTCCTGGTATCTCTACTCTCATTATTGGTCCTGAGGGGGTTATCTGTCCTAGATTCCCTGTGTTTCCAGCTCTCATCTGTACCAGAGAGTGTATATCCTCTGGTCTAGCCAGATTTGTAAGGTAAAATTGGGATCATAATAGTAGGGGAGAGGAAACATTAAAGAACTAGAGGAAAGTTGTATGTTTCATTGGTGCTATATTGCACCCTGACGGGCTCATCTCCTCCCCACAACCCTTCTTTAAAGGGATGTCCAGTTACCTACACATGGACTTTGGGTCTCCACTCCGCACTCCCCCTCATTCACAATGATATGATTTTTTATTCTTTGATGCTTGATACCTGATCCTATGGGCACCTCATGATCACACAGGCTGGTGTGCTTCATTGCTTATCAGCTGGATGGTCACTTGTTTATCTTCAAGCCTTTAAGATCCCAGACACTATATCTTTTGATAGCTGGGCACCACCAGCTTTCTTCACCACATTTGCTTATGCATCCACTTTGTCTTCAGCGATCATGTTAGGAAGGTGAGCATCATGGAATGCCAGTTTAATAGAACAAAGTGTTCTTGCATTGAGGGA